ACTTTGCCTGTGGGCGATTGGCGGGTGCTCTGGTGTGGTTTGTTCCTTCTTTCCTATCAAACATCTATCGTCCTTATCTTTCCTTCTTTTTTTGTTTGTTACTCTCTTGTAACACATCTAATCTTTTGGCGCTCATATGACCTTATGCAGTTGCGAGCGCCGTAAAACCTCTACTAAAACGAAACTAAACGTTGCCTCATCGCTTGCATTCCATATAAAATGGACGTTAAAATCGAAAATGTATATGTGGTGCTGACCTTACATCTGGCTAAGTCTGGTAAAGATAGTTCTTTTCAAAATCATTGTGTTTGTCACCAAAAGGTAATCATGCTGCTATTTTCTAGTTGAAATAATGATCGCACACTTTTGGCAGTTTTAAGGTAATGCTACAACTTTTGTAAATGTAAGCGGAGAAGTTGAAGTCCTCAGCACTCCAAAACGAAGCCCTAAACGAGAGCGAAACGAAAACTAAATGGTTTTGCAAGGCACTGCCAAAAAAAAACCCAACAAAAAAACCGCTTCTCGGAACTAAGGTTTCTCTCGAACGTAGCCTAATTTACATTTCGAAAAGCAATTAAAAAAACAAAACAAACAAAACAAAACCAACCAACCCCAGAACCCTTCAATGTTCGTGACCGTATTGAGTACGTCAATACAAAATGGGCCAGGTGCGTGTATATATGAGGACAAAAAGTTTGCCTGACGAGCATAACATGATTGAGTTCAAATAGATTCCACACCAAATTGTTGTTCTCCTTTAGGCTTCAAGCTTGCTTTCAAACGGCTGACTGAATCCAGGGCAGCTACTCTGTATTATGCAATAGCTGCTGCCGGATAAGCTCGCCTCGCCGTGCTGTTCCTTTGTAGAAGGGAAATGAGACGTCAAGGAAAACGTTACCTTTCTATGTAATTTGAACTGCCAGAAAGTAGAGGTGTCAAAATCCGGATAATCTATGAGGATAACCGGATAATTCTCAGTGAAACAATGTCCGAATTCAGACTCTTATCTCTCTCTCTTTCCTGACCCGTTTGCCCGAAGTGGATGCACCCATTTGTTGAAGTGATGCTGCTAACCCGTTTGTCAAAGTGGTTCTAACCCTTTTATTGCTGAGGCGGTTCATAATCATTTTATTTGCCGAAGAGGTGCAATGACATATTATCCGGATTTTGCTAAAGCGACTCATTTGCCAAGCCTTACCAGAAAGTCTGTGTCTACCGTGTCTTGGTGTAAGGGAATAATACACACGTTGACAGTAACACTCAACCGACACCCGGCCAAAGCGACGTTCTTATCTCATATAACAGTGGTCTCATAGTTTTGTCAACGGTCTCAGGAAACGAGTGTCCGTTTTGCTATAATACACACCTACATAAACACACACACACTCACACACACACACACACACACACACACACACACACACACACACACACACAC